TGTCTCTTCAGTGTTATGTCTTCTTCCCTTGTGGTCATGTGGACCTGAAACCTTCCACCTCACCTGACCTTTCACCAACACCTGGTCCTCTTGTCCCTCTAGCTGTGTACTCTACGTGGATGTCTTGTCACAGTCTCTTCAGCAGCAAGTTGAGCTGAGTTACTCTCATCACTGATTGCCTGTCGTTTGTTTGATTCTACTTTTAGTTACAACTCTTTGAAGTACTGGATATACAAAGAGAAAAGAGAGATTGTTACTATTCTTTGGTTCCAATTATGATTCAGTTGCCTTGGCATGGTGGCGTGGCATGTCCTGATCAGAAGGGCATCAGAGCGCCAAGCCGTAGCTCCCTCCGCTTGCTTACTAACTGTCGTATGGAGTCCTCACATGTAACCACACTACCCAGACTGCCCTATTCCACGTGTGGCGCTGCTAACATGCATGACTGCCGCTAATGGATGCTCAAGCTGCTCACCAACTTGGTTATCTCTCCCCCTAGCACACGGCAAGAGTAAGCTAACAGAGGCAGATCTGGCCGTGCTGGAAAGTATGGTGATAGCCCAGGAGGCAGAGGTGGAAGAAATGGCTTTCGCCCACGATCAAGCAGAAGCCCAAGCTAAGGCACAAGAAGAGCAGTTACGTAAAAAAGGACAGCAGCAGAAGCCAAAGGTTAAAGGTCAGAAGAAGCAGGATCAAGCAAAAGGTCAGTTACAACAAGGTAAAGTTGAAGAACAAGCCCTGCTCGATAAAGCACAAGGTCAGATCCATCAAAAGACGATCAAAGGCCAACTTAAAGACAAGAAAAGTGCACAACCCGAGGTCAAGAGTGAGACACAATCAAAAGTAGGTCAAGTTCATCAAAGTCAAGAGGGTCAAAAACAACCAAGTCATGTAGAAAGCCTGATTCAGCCAACACAAACACAGCAGGTTCAGCTAGAAGGCCTGGCACAATCAACATTGGGACAAATTGAGAGCCTGATTCAGCCAACACAAGTCAAAGGTCAGGCACAACAAGTCCAAGTAGAAAGCCTGATTCAGCCAACACAAGTCAAAGGTCAGGCACAACAAGTCCAAGTAGAAAGCCTGATTCAGCCAACACAAGTCAAAGGTCAGGCACAAAGTCCCAGTAGAAAGCCTGATTCAAGCCAACACAAGTCAAAGGTCAGGCACATCAAGTCCAGTAGAAAGCCTGGCAAAGTCAAAGGTCAGGCACAGTAGAAAGCCTGATTCAGCCAACACAAGTCAAAGGTCAGGCACATCAAGTCCAAGTAGAAAGCCTGATTCAGCCAACACAAGTCAAAGGTCAGGCACATCAAGTCCAAGTAGAAAGCCTGATTCAGCCAACACAAGTTAAAGGTCAGGCAGAAATTCAATCCGAAAACCTGTCACAGCCACCATTAATGAAAAGCCAGGCCCAAAGTCAAGTAGAAAGCCTGATTCAGCCAACACAAGTCAAAGGTCAGGCACAAGTCCCAGTAGAAAGCCTGATTCAGCCAACACAAGTCAAAGGTCAGGCACAAGTCCCAGTAGAAAGCCTGATTCAGCCAACACAAACACAGCAGGTTCAGCTAGAAGGCCTGGCACAATCAACATTGGGACAAATTGAGAGCCTGATTCAGCCAACACAAGTCAAAGGTCAGGCACAAGTCCCAGTAGAAAGCCTGATTCAGCCAACACAAGTCAAAGGTCAGGCACAACAAGTCCAAGTAGAAAGCCTGATTCAGCCAACACAAGTCAAAGGTCAGGCACAAGTCCCAGTAGAAAGCCTGATTCAGCCAACACAAGTCAAAGGTCAGGCACAAGTCCCAGTAGAAAGCCTGATTCAGCCAACACAAGTCAAAGGTCAGGCACAACAAGTCCAAGTAGAAAGCCTGATTCAGCCAACACAAGTCAAAGGTCAGGCACAACAAGTCCCAGTAGAAAGCCTGATTCAGCCAACACAAGTCAAAGGTCAGGCACAACAAGTCCCAGTAGAAAGCCTGATTCAGCCAACACAAACACAGCAGGTTCAGCTAGAAGGCCTGGCACAATCAACATTGGGACAAATTGAGAGCCTGATTCAGCCAACACAAACACAGCAGGTTCAGCTAGAAGGCCTGGCACAATCAACATTGGGACAAATTGAGAGCCTGATTCAGCCAACACAAGTCAAAGGTCAGGCACAAGTCCCAGTAGAAAGCCTGATTCAGCCAACACAAACACAGCAGGTTCAGCTAGAAGGCCTGGCACAATCAACATTGGGACAAATTGAGAGCCTGATTCAGCCAACACAAACACAGCAGGTTCAGCTAGAAGGCCTGGCACAATCAACATTGGGACAAATTGAGAGCCTGATTCAGCCAACACAAGTCAAAGGTCAGGCACAACAAGTCCAAGTAGAAAGCCTGATTCAGCCAACACAAGTCAAAGGTCAGGCACAACAAGTCCCAGTAGAAAGCCTGATTCAGCCAACACAAGTCAAAGGTCAGGCACATCAAGTCCAAGTAGAAAGCCTGATTCAGCCAACACAAGTCAAAGGTCAGGCACAACAAGTCCAAGTAGAAAGCCTGATTCAGCCAACACAAGTCAAAGGTCAGGCACAAGTCCCAGTAGAAAGCCTGATTCAGCCAACACAAGTCAAAGGTCAGGCACATCAAGTCCAAGTAGAAAGCCTGATTCAGCCAACACAAGTCAAAGGTCAGGCACAAGTCCCAGTAGAAAGCCTGATTCAGCCAACACAAGTCAAAGGTCAGGCACATCAAGTCCAAGTAGAAAGCCTGATTCAGCCAACACAAGTCAAAGGTCAGGCACATCAAGTCCAAGTAGAAAGCCTGATTCAGCCAACACAAGTCAAAGGTCAGGCACATCAAGTCCAAGTAGAAAGCCTGATTCAGCCAACACAAGTCAAAGGTCAGGCACAAGTCCCAGTAGAAAGCCTGATTCAGCCAACACAAACACAGCAGGTTCAGCTAGAAGGCCTGGCACAATCAACATTGGGACAAATTGAGAGCCTGATTCAGCCAACACAAGTCAAAGGTCAGGCACAAGTCCCAGTAGAAAGCCTGATTCAGCCAACACAAACACAGCAGGTTCAGCTAGAAGGCCTGGCACAATCAACATTGGGACAAATTGAGAGCCTGATTCAGCCAACACAAGTCAAAGGTCAGGCACAAGTCCCAGTAGAAAGCCTGATTCAGCCAACACAAGTCAAAGGTCAGGCACAACAAGTCCAAGTAGAACAGATACAACCTGAAGTAACAACCAAGGTTCAGCAGTCGACCACCAGAGTCATGTCTCCAGGGAAAGACCGTGCCATTACATTGGCATCTGCAGCTACACCTGCTGGCAAAGAGAAACAACAACAATTTGGTGACTTGACAAAACGTGTAGCAGATGTGGCCTCTTCAATGGCCTCAACCCTGGAGAGCATAACAGCTGTTGCAGAAGGCCTGGAGGGTAGTCATCTGTCCAGTGATGAAGGAGAGGAACAACTGATGCTAATGAGGGATTCCCCTCGATGGGAAGATGAAGAAATTCAAGCTGAAGAAACAGATGAACCAAGAGCCATCAAGGCTGAAATCAAACTCTTAGTTAAAACTACTGAAGTAGGAAAAGAATCAATTGAGATAAGAAGCATTCGTGAGTTTGTAGAATCTGATGAAAAGAATCTGGCTGGTTTTGGTGGTATTGTTCCATCACCAGTTCCAGAGGCAGGGCGTGTAACTCCCCAGGGTGACCGGGTGTATACTCTACAAAGAGGCAGCCCCAGTGCACGTACCCCCAGCCCCAGGTTTGTTCGTCAGCAACAGTCATCCCCTGTGACGTCGTACATTCAACCTACGCACGACGAGTTTGATCTCATGGCTCAAGTGCGAGGTAAGGCAGGCTTTTAGCTTGCTGCTCTCTAGTACTTGTGCTGCTTCTTAGCGATCTTTTTATGTGTGACTTGCATATTTAACCAAACTAAAACTCTGAGGAATGTATTTGACAAACTAACCAGTAATAAATTCAAGAGGCGTGGCTACACACCATTAGCCTTGCTCTGATATATTGAAACGAAGGCTAAGACAAAAGTGAAAGGCTTGGGCCTGTTGATGATGCTTCTAATCTCCAGGCTTTACAGACCTTCTTCCCTCATGTGTTTCAGACGGTGTCCTTCATGGTGGTTGTCCTGAAGCACAAGGCATGGACTGGGAGGGGAAAAGTGTAGACAGCATGTATACTGAAACTGTGGTGCAGGCTAGAATCTCCATGCTCCCTGCGGTGGACACCAGCGAGGGTGTCGCCCCTACCTCCTCTCCTACCACTACCCTTCCCTGCGCCACTCCTCAACCCTCAACTTCCCCTCACACGGACTTGACCCTCCAAACCTACGACCTGACACAACGGCCTCCCTATTCCCACCTAAACCTGGAACCTTCCCATCTGCATGAATCTCATCTTGTCGAACCTCAGAGTTTCGACATATCTCCATCTTCTGTCACTAAATTATCTGATCCTCTCTTCTTAGAAAAAGGCTTTACAAGTGCTACTGAAGGTCTTTCCAAACTTGTAACTTCTCCCTCAGCTGCTTCTTTGCAGTCTGAAAGTGTTGCTCCATATACTGGGACTGATGACATGGCAGCTGCCAGTGTCACTTATAATACAAGTAGTGCTGTGTTGTCTATAGGTCCAGTCTCGCCCACTGAAGACTCCAGTGAGGATCATGCAGAGATTGATCGCACAAGTACTGAACTTTCTCCAGACAGTGTAAGGTTTGAGCAAGATATGTTAGAGACAAGGACTGAGGATGAGGCCCCAGATTTAGATGATGATATGATGGCAGGATCACCTGTGTTGGGGCCAGAGTTAAGTGAAAGAGTATTTTCTGTGGAAGCCACAGAAGACACAGACATCACAACACCTATGGAAATGCGTGACTCTCACACAGAGCGTGATGCTACTGCTTCAAACTTGGAATCCGTTGATGATAAAGAAGGCACTGAGGGAAAGTCAGACCTTAAAGACCAGTGCTGGGATACTGAAGATAATATCTCATGTTTAGCCCAAGAAACAGCTGAAATTCATAGTAGAGTAATAAAACTCCAAGAAAAGGTTCAGGCTCAAGAAGTTGACCTAACCACAGCAAAATCAGAGGCCGAATTGATACTCAATACAGTAGCAGACATAAGAGAGGCTGTTAGTAATGGGAAAGGTGAATCAGATGCACAGAAGAGCAAAATGGCTCAAGATATACTGGACAGTATATCATCTATATCAGATACCGTTGCTAAATTAATACAGAACCTCAATCCATCAGATGTAGAAACTTCATCTCTCCTAATGAAGGGAGAAACTGGAGTGACAAAGACTGAATCCACTGTAATAGCAGCCGGTTCACCTGAAGAAGGCAGCCCTTCTGACTCGAATGTACGCGATCAAACCTTTTCTGATCTCTTGGATTCAGACGACATCAATCGCGAAAGCTTAGAGGATGAGTTTGAAAAGTTGGCTGCTGAGATGAGCCTCTCTCCAAAGGCAGAAGAGGCACTAGTACATAAACCAGAAGCCACCATGACAACTGTTCCTTCTGATGCCATAATTTACCCTGTCTCTTCTTCTATTATTTATCCCTCCAAAACTCCTGATGCCTTACAGGCCACACAACGGGAACCAGGTATGGAACTCGCTTGTGGTTCTTTTGTAGTCCATCACCCATCATACTGACAGGCTCTTATCCTAACACATTTTTTTAATGATAGGTTTTGTTGTACATATCCATTGTTTTCAGAATTCCTTCAAACCATTTCTGTCAATGTTTGTTTTGAATGTTCCATAAATATATTTGTATATTTTTTAAGCTGAAAAGATATGGGCATTTCATTTCACAGCTGACGATGATACATCTAGACAACAAGATGTCCAGTTAACAATGGTATCTGGTGTAACCCATCAAGCGGGTGGGGAAGCTAAGCTTGATGAACTTGTGGAAAAAGGTTGTTTTACATCTTCACCAAACAGAGTTTCTGCAACTCATTTAGCCAAATCAGTTGAATCTAAAAGTGATGAAAAAGATAGTGAGTTTAAACATTTCAATAAGTCTACGGATATTTCTGAAACCGAAGGCTTAATTGACACTTTCAACACTATTGGGGAGGCAAGTGTAGATGAGGCATCTGAAGATAGCATTGGGGATGTTGTTGTCCGTCGAGCCTCAAGTAGGAGTGGCCCACGCCCCACCACCTTCCCATTGTGCCTCCTGCAGCCAGAAGTTGTGGGCTCCTCTCCAGAAGCTCAGCAATATTTCCGGCAGCAGCAGGAGGTACTGGAGGAGATGGGACGCCAGGGTTCCTTACAGATGGATGTAACTGACTTGAGAGCCTTAACTTCACCAGAGAGTCTGGCTGGTGGTAATGAATTTGAGGATAACGAGGCAGAGGACTCGAGCCGGGAGACTAGAAGCAATCTCCGAAAGCTTGTCAAATCATCTTCAAGTTATGAAAACCTTTATGATGGTGCGGACCTTCAGGCCGCCAGCAGTGAAGATACCCCAACCACTTCACAGCTGACAAGCTCCCTCGGAGATCCATTCAGTACCAAGACACATCTCCCCCCAGAAATGTGTTCCAGTTTTGAGAACTTGTACATGAAGGCCAGAGAGGCTGATGAGAAACTTGCTCATGAGGCTAATTTGCTTGCTGGGGAAATCCTGGATGAGGCAGTGCAAGAGGCAGTACAGGAAAGTGTGGATTCTAACACTTCTCTCAGCCCAGCCGCTTTGCACACCTCTTCAGGCACTTATTCTCAGCAAGTAAATGATGACTCTGAAGTACAAGTCTGTCAGCATGAAGACACAATAAAATCTGGTACAGCAGGTATTTTGGTGATGTAGCAGCAGCCACTGCTTTCCCAAAGGCACAAATCTAGGCTGCTGTCTTTTCAGTTTGTGTGGTGTGATGCTAACCATTTTGAGAATCAGGAATTGTTTAGAGAAGATCTTTCACTGATGGAGTGACTAATGACTTGTTAATTTATAGTTGTGTGAACATTAACATTAATTGATTTCTTTCAGATAACAAGTGACGGCATGTACTATGTTGTGTAGTAGCTTGTGTTGGGTCCAGGGATGCCATTTGCTCACGACATCGTTTTGTATTAGCTTTTATACAATGAGCATCTCAGATGTGAGGACTAGAATCCATGTCCTCTTTCTGCTTTTGACAAAATTCGTAAATGTGTCCTGTCTTGGATTTATATGGCATTTGTTAGTGGCCTGGTATTGGTCAAATGTGGCCTATCAATGACATTGTTGTCAAAATACCAGGCTTTATATTTATAATCTGATAGTATGGGGGTCCAGTCAACACCATTTCCTCATCTATGAACATATTTCATGTTCAGTTTAGGTCGAAGTAGCCAGGCACAAACAAATGTAGGACAATTGGTAAGTAGTAGGTTTTTTGATTGTGTAGACTTACAATATGCACGTTGGGTGAATGTTGTGTAAGTGTGGAGGGTGGGTGGGTTCTGTTAAGGATCATAAGTTCCCACATACCTTGAATGAATGAGCCAGCCCAGTTTGGCAGCATGTGGTATGAGTGAGACCTGTGCCATAACAAGTGTGTGTGACGTTTACTAATAGTGTGCTACTAACTCTTGTTCTAGATGTGGGAGTGGTGTTTACAGAGCGTAAAGAGTATGGGGGCGGGGTGAAGCCATCTGCAGAGACGACAGGCGGACACTCGCACATATCACCTTCACCTGTTCCTCATCCTTCCCAATCCTCATCCCTTACCGCAGACCAAAAGAAAGCCCCAAGCACTAAACCAGTATCTCAGGAGGAGGGGCAGCGACCCCCTGATGATAGTACTACTCCAAGTCGACCAACAAGACGGCATGAACGAACATTTTCTCAAGCAAGTAATATATATACTGGAGCCATTCCAACTGAGACTAAACAAGAGGGAAAGAAAGGAGATAAAGAAACTATTCCAGAAGAAGTAGATGGTGTAAGTGAAACCATCAAACCATATTCAGAAAGAAAACAATTTTGGGAGAGTGTTACAGGCCAATCATTTGAAGCCAAAGGCACTCAATTGATCAAGACCGAAACTGAAAGTGACACTGACACAACAGGTACAGATGGCACAGTAGTGGAGCAACGGGTTCCAGATAAGAAACTATCTGTAGGAGAAAGTTCTGATTCGGAAGCCGAATATTTAGCTCACAGGGAGAAGCCAGCTTTTTATGAAAATCAAGCATTCATAGGCACAGAGAAGATTGATGAGCCCAAGGAGGGTGAGAGAGATGGAGCTGTAAGCCCATTTGAAGTTCGCCGTCGGGTAGAAAGCCAAGACTTGCCCTCACCTGAAGATATAGCATTTAAGGATGTGTCTTCCAAGAGAGCACTCTTTGAAAAGGAAATCAAAAGACAGTCCATGGAGATTGAGGAAAGTCAGTCATGGAAACGGTCATCAAAAGAGTATGACGAGACAGTTGTCATTTCTGAGGAGTCAGCATCCAGCACACTTCAGAAGAAAGAAGAGAGGAAACAAACATTGGAGGAAACAGTAGAGAGTGAGAAGGATCTCTCTAAAATAAAGAAAGAAACCAGAGAGGATATTGTATCAAAAACAGATGTTGAAAAAGTCGAAAGTGAGCAGAAGAAGGATAAAGTTAGCAAGAAAGATGATGTATCTGAAATTACAGAATCCTCAAAATTACTCAAAGAAAAAATGCAAGTAAAGGAGAAAAAATCATTATCTGAAGTTAGTATTGGTGACAGCAAGGTAGTAACTCAGACTGATTTGTTATCAGAAAAGAAAGAGAAGGAAAGCACAGAGAAAGCAGGAAAAGTAAGCATGGTTGATAAGAAGGTGGTATCCCAAACAGATATTTCTAAAGAAAAAATAGAGAAAGAAGTTTTAGAGAAAGCAGAGGAAGTAATCCATGAGAGCAGAGAGAATGAAGGTGGAATTTTATCAAGAACAGTTTCTAAATCAGAAGAGAAAGCAGAAAGCTTATCAGAAGCCAGAGAAACAATCCAGACAAGATCCACAGAAGATCAGGATACATCTCGAGATGAGATCACTGAAGAAGATATGACAAGAACTGAGGAAACATCAGAAGAAGAGGCAGACGAATTAATGACGAAAGAAAAAGTAACTGTAAATGTAACAGAGGAGACTCGACAACTCGGAGACACTCATGAGACTGTAGTACGAGAGACAACTACCACACGAGATGGTGAGCAGGAACAAAGAATCATCAAAGAGACCAAAACCCAGCAGACTGTGATGGCTGATGGGTCCACAGTCAAGACTACTTCAATTACCACCTTCACAACACAATTGGACACAAAAGAGACTGACGAGTTTCCTGAGAAAACTAAAGTCAAACAGGAAGTATTTACAAAGGAGATGACTGATGAAACATCTGCGTCCATACCTGAAGAGAAGGATGCATATAAAACCATGACAGCAAAAGAGAAATCTGAAGCCTTTGTAGAACAACGCATGAAGTCAGACATTTTTTCACAAGAGCTTTCTTCCTCAGCAGAGGATCAGAGCCCTGAACACAAGGTTATTACTCCAAAGGAAACTGGAGCTCCAGTCTCTTTACAAGCAAAAACTGCTGAACATCCACTTACTAGTCCAATTAGAGTACCAGAGGAGAGTGTCCAGGAAATTGTATGGGAAGTATCTCAGGAGAGGTCAGAAACAGTTTTATCTGAGACTGTAGAAGACATTCCATCACACCAACCCATTGAATCTCACCAAGTGAAGGAAATTCCACGAGAGGAACAGAAAAAACCAGCAAAACCACAAAGGAAATCATCTAGCTCTACTGAAGGTAGATTGAGTGAAGAAGAGGCACGAAAACTTGCCATAGAAATTGTTGAAGAAGTGAAAATGGAAGCTGTTAAAAGATCACCCATTGCACCGCCAGCAGAAGAGTTTGGAGAAAGTGAAGGAGCTGCAAAACCGCCATTTCCGAGACCTAGTCCAGAATCAGCCTTTACAGAAGAAACAACCACAAAAATTGAAAAATACATCCAAGAGCAATTAGGAGATGATGTTGATGAGAAACAGCTCAAGTTAATTGAATCTGTTACTGCCAGAAAAACGGAGATGTTGCACAAAAAGATGATTGGAAGTGAATACCAGCATAGCATGGAAATTACCGATGAAGATCTGCGATCCAGTGGAGCTGAACTCTCACCCATCGAACACCAAATGGAGAGGCTCCGCCAAATGACTGAAGAAGATGATACCCAGCGATATGCCAGAGAACCTTCTGAAGCAGATGAGAGCGAGAGCTCCATAATCATTCACGAGACTGCAGATGACGTCATGTCAAGTGAGTATGATCAGGCAAACCAAATGATCACAAAGACACTAGATGCTTTGAAAACTGCAGAACTAGGAAAGGTAGAAAGGCCAATAGACACAATTAAAGAAGTGCCAGAAACAACTGTACTTACAGCTGTCACAGAAACAAGAGATGTGGCAGTTGCAGAGAAAACTGATTTTGCTAAATTGACCAAGCTAGAAGTCCAAGAGACTGCTAGACAGCTGGTTAAGGAAGTAACAGAGAAAGCCCAGGAATCAGAAGCAGTGAGGCAGGCATCTCTAACAGCAGCAGAACTCCGTCAAGGTTCTGGAAGCCGGGAGCACAGTCGTACACCAAGTCCAAAGCCAGGTTCCCGAAAAGGTTCTTGGATGGATGACGAGGATCTGCGACGTGAGTTCCGTAGAGATTATGAAGACAAAAAAAAAATGTTCAAAGAGGAAATGACTTCTGATAAAGATGTTTTCGAGGAAGGGTCCGCAAAAGAATCAAAGGAAATGAAAGTATCACAACAGAAGAGTAGTGACAGAGAAGTTCACATGGAGTCTAGCATGACCGAGAGCATGGAAGAGTCAAGCACAGTTGAAAGTGTACGTTCTATAGAAGGTAAAATCAGAGCAGAGGTCATTACGTCTGTAGTGAAGGAGGTCAAGGAAGTTGAGACTGAAAAAAAGGAAGAAGTTGTTATGAGAAAAAAGGGTCATGTTGAAGAGTTTAACCGAAGATCAGGTACAGATTTCGACGCGTACTCTAGTTCTGGAGAAAGCCACTATTTCACAGCAGCTGAAGGCACTTCTGACAGCCGCACTGCAAGCAGACCATGTTCATCTGATGTAGAAGCACTCATTTCCGAGCGGACCACAGGCACCTCTGAATATGATACTGCACTCACTTCACAAGATGCTTCACAATATTCATCCTATTCAACTTCCTCACAAGATTATCGTACAGCAGCCAGCTCAATAAGTTCTAGGGATTCAATGAAATCCATTGATTCTGAGAGTTCTGGCCATCTTGCTAGCTTTGAACTAAGTGAAGCTTCAGAAACCTTAGTACCCTCCGCAGCAGAGTTGGAGAAAGATATGGATCTTCTTGACCAAGATGTGGCTGAGGAAGAGATCTCCCATTCCCACCATACTGTCATCCCACAACTAACAATTCAGTCTGACACACCAAAATCTGAGGATGCACCAGGATCCTTTGAAGTTGAATCAGATGATGCTGAATTTGAACAAGATGGTAAAGATGGTGATAGTTATACTACATCTAAAATGAAAAGATCTATTGAAATGACATTTTATCCAGAACCTAAACCCTTAAGCACAGATAAGAAAGGTAGTGTAACAGAAAGTGTAGCTTCAAGTTTAGAAGAAAGTACTGTTTCAGAGGTTTCTATGGCCACTGTGGTAGAACAGGATAAAAGCATGCAGGGATCTACCACCACTGACTCTAACATGACAGCATCAAGTGTATCAGAGCAGATGGTGTCATCAGTCGGTCAGGATTTTGATCATCAGGTAACTTGTACAGACAGTGGAGTTTTGACAACAGATACAGGTGATGGAGACATGACCTTGCATTCTGTTACCATTACTGCAACATCAGTTCCACCTTCAACAGATGACCAGAGTACAGCTTCAATGTGTACTCAGGTGACATCTGAAACCCGTGCTCAAGTAGAATTAACAGAAAGTGAGCAGTTTTTTCGCGCTAATGGACCCACTGAAGTAGATTATGTGCCTGAGTACGACGATGAGGAAGTACAAGGTGCGCGGCCAGCTGTAGCCCCTACTGTACCTGCTTTTCAAGAAGCTGCAGGAGCTATAGCTGGCCCTTCAGAGGGCCCACAGAAAGTTGTCATTGTTGAAGAATGTTACGAAACCGAAGCCGATCAAGAATATGGCCAAATGATGAGAGAGAGTGAATATTCAGAACTGGCAGAGGCTGAGCTTCAGTATTCTCTAGAAGAACAACCTGAAGCAGAGATGAGTAGTATGTTAGTGATTGAAGAGCCAATTGAACGGCCAAGAACACCAGAACCTGGCTTTATACCCTCATCCCGTCCTACTTCTATGATCATCCAATCTCCTGAAGAACCTGAAGAATTCACTGAAGTAGATAAAAGGTTTAGTGCTGTATTTTCTACTACTTATGAAGAGAGAGATGAAGGCAGTCGTTCATCAGTTTCAGATGTGATGAGCGTAGGTGTACCAGACATAACTGTCACAGAGCATACCTTACCTATGCCAAGTCAGTATTGTTATCCAGATCTTGAACGTGAGGAGGACTTTCCCGAGTGTCGAGCACTAGCGGAAGCAGAAGACCGAGGACCGGATATTCCAGCTACTCCGGGATCTCAGGAGTCTGCATCCACTTGTGCTTCACGCAAGTCATCCTCGACTGACTCCGAGCAAGGGAGAGAGTATTGCTTAGATGACATGGCACATGGCCCATCATTTGGGTCTTTTGAAATGGTGGAGGCTGACGAAATTGATGATTTTTCAGAATATGAAAGAACACTATACATGCATGAAGAACGCATGATGGAAATGTCACAAATCAAGGAAGAAGATGAAGAGGAAGTTGAAGAAGAGAGACGTCTTAGTAGCTCTCCAATACCAATTCCAACTCAATTAAAGGCTGTCAAGATCGACAATTCTAACACACCCAGTGAATCTCAGGCTAGTGATGAGACAGAAGACCCCGATGAGACTGGCGATCCATCCATTGAAGAACAGAGAAGGTGGCTAGAGCTACAGTTTGAGGAGAGTGATGTAACTAACTATGAATACCAGCAAACTGGCTTCATAGAACATGTATACTCTGGTCCTCTTGAGGATATTGAAGAAGAGAGGGAAGATGCAGAACGGAGAGATCTTTCACACGTCACAAAGAACTCATCACTCTCATCAACTCCAGAATATGATGTTCTGGCTGGTAGGAAATTTTTCACTCGCAGTGGAGAACATGATGATGTTTCCATGACTTCCCTCCAGGAATTTGAAAACCTTGAACAACAAGTTGCTGTTGAAGCTATAGCAAGGAGAGCTAGTTCAGGTTCACAGGAATCTTTAAATGGTAAGAGACCTGAGAGTAAGAGTGGGCATGGTGATGATATATCTGTGGGGTCTTTTGCATCGCTCCAAGAATTTGAACGTTTAGAAAAAGAATGTTTAATTGTTGAACAAATAGAAAAGAAAGCTCAGGAAGAAGCAGCAATGCTTTCAGAGATAGAAGAGGGGCATGAAAGCCAAATGTCAGAATCTGAGAGTTGTGAGACACTCTCTGAACCTGGACGTGCTTCAGTTGAGGGTGAGGAGTATGACCAGAGATTGTTTGAGATAGACGAAATTATACGCCAGGCACAAGATAATGTAGAGAAGTTTGATAAAAGTAAGGCTGAATACGAAGGTGTGAGACTGCAAGATATTGTGAGTGTAGATGGATCTGGTTCAGGTAGCAGCCATGCTGATCGCACTCCAAGTGTAGGTCGTGAAGAAGGTGATGCAGACTCCTTAGAAGAGGCACAGCTGCCAGAATTAGATCTTGATCAGACTGGTGTTACGAGTTTAGGAAGCTCGGCCAAACAGGATACCATGAGCATGAGTGCAGACAGTATTGAAGCAGCTCCCAAGCATAAGGTACCTCGTGAAACAAGTCAGGATTCTTTAGAAAAGGCAGAAGCTCGTTCTTCTGACCCCATGACTACTAGTGTAGATAGTATTGAGTTTGTGAGTCGTCAGGATGTTATGACTACTAGTACGGACTCCATAGAGGCCCGGAGAAGACGTCCAGATGCAATGAGTGCATCCACAGATTCCATTGAACCCAGCAGGCGTGATATCATGGCCACCAGTATAGATAGTCTAGGCAGGGATGATTCTAGTGGTAGAGATGCAGATATCAGTTCAGGAAGTGAGCAAGTGAGGCCTCTGCCCAGGGATGGTGGAGTGATGGAGTGCAGTCTAGAGTCCTTGGAACCCACTTCATCCCAGGCCACACATGCAACTTATCAATATGACACAGACTCTATTATGTCAGGCTCCTTCACTAGTGGATGTTCCAACACCCTTGTTGCATCAACAGATGATTTTCCAGATATGATGACCTCTTCCATGTACATTCCAGAAGGTGAATTGCCACCAGAAAGTGAAGAGCAGTATATTAGATATATGCAGGCCAGTGGTGGCACAGCAACTGAAATAGTCCAGCCAACAAGTGAGGAAGGTTACTCTCATACTGTCACACGTGTAGTTAGACTACAGCCAGAGGCAAAACAGATAACCTTTACAGGGCCTGACGCTCAAAAGAAAATGGAAGAATACATGCAAAGTTTTAATGCTGGAGAACATACCACCCAGGAGGAAGCAGTAGATGCTCAGGGCAATGTCCATATCCGTCGTGTAACACAAAAACGTATAGTAACAGATCCAAAGGAAACAAAAGAACATGGATTTTCTGTGGCAGATCCAAGTGTAGAGGAGCTGGAAACCCGTGATGAGCACGGCAATGTAACACGTATTGTGAAACGAACTGTTGTCACCACACATACAGTTGAGGTCGATCTCGATACTGGTGAACCAATAGTGCAGCCTCCTCCCACCACTGTCTCCTCCACAGCCGCATCCTTCTCCTCCCGTATTCCTCGTCCAGTGACCAGTCCTCCTCTAGCCTCCCGGTCACCCCCTCCTGGTCCGCCCCCTGGGTCGCGCGGCCCCCGTGAGCCCGTCCTCCCCTCCCTGGAGCCCAACACAGTCTCAGGTACAGCGTCCCAAGCGTCACTGTGTTGCACCGCCCGCCGGGTGTGTCCCCGCACTCTGCACTCCTCCAGCCTTAGTTCTCTTTCAGCATGCTGTGTCCGCATGACGTCACGCCAACCATCAGCCCTTAGTGCTCATTTTGTTATCGTCTGTAATTAGTTTTATCTTTAAACTGCAGTATTTTGTCATCTAGAACCTTCATTTATTTGGTTTCCTTTCATCTACAAGCATATTGATGATGTATATGACTCTCGTAGATCAGTGGGGCTTAAGTATATCATATATTTTTTATTATTATTTCCCATCTGTCATTGTGTATATAGCGCTATAATAAGTGTCCCTTAATGTATGAGAAGTCGGTAATTTGCTGCACTGTTGAGTTGGCGATGCGGTCCAGCGCTTGACTAACGAGTCTCTCTCTCTGCCTCGCTCACCAGACGTTGTGCAGCCGGACAGTGGAGCGGGGGCGCGGCAGGCGCCAGGTTATAAAATCTCTTTGTGTGCTTTTGCATTTCTGCTCGTGCCCTGGTTGTCTCCATCCATACCCTTGGTGTCGTTGTTGTGTATTACTACTACTTAACTTACGTTGCAGTTGTGGAAGTGGTGGCCTTACCCTTTGCATGAGTGGCACCAGGAGGGGAAGAATTTTTCCAGTTGAGTCAAAAGGCAAGAGTGGGGAGCCCCTTGTGGTAGTATGGAGGGGATGGTGCTGGCTCACACTCACACCTTCTGGGAGGGCCCGCCCCCTTATGTGTCATGTGGTGGCGGTGGGCTGTCATTCTCCTGGTGCCAGTGTTTTGATAATGAGCAGAGTAGTAGCGGAGGTTCCTGGCTGCTGGGGCGGGCCACTAACATGGTGGTGGGGAACCCGCTCTCATGCCATGGCCAGGAGGAGATTTGTTGCTGTTGGAATTCCTCACCGCCTGCCTACTGTTCGAGCATCTCTTAACTGTCGTGTTTGTACACTCACCTCCAGCCGATGTAGCTTGTGCTAAAGAAAAAGAACAGTATGCAGGAGTGACGAGATGCCAAGAGTTACGTTTCTCACACTCCATCCTTACCCAGCACCGAACGCGGGCACAGGAATCGTACGTTTACGCAACTGTACGATGAGGCATCAAACCAGTCAGACGGAATTCAGTCTTTTAAGCGACATTAACGGGAAAAGGAATATTTCAAAGAAAATTGTGATAGTGCCCGCGTTTATTTTGTTTTACTTATATGTATACTTATTTTGTATTTCTTTTTTTCCGTATTTTACTAATGGTGTGGTATGGTTTTATATTTAGTGTGCATTTGCACTTATTATTTACTTGTTTATATGTCTTTTATTTCCCTTAGTTAAAACAAACATTGAGAGGCATGTTTCTTTATGTAATGTATTGTGATTAGTTTCAAAGACATTAATTAATTCCTTGCAAAATTTAGTTGATTATATGCATGCTGGGAGTTGGAGTTGTTGTTATTATTACCGTACCTTAGTGTCCATGTTTGACTTTGTTTAACATAACTTTGGACTCTCAGTGTCTTTTTTAAGTCCATTCAACTGTATAATGATTTGTCCTTTAAGTCCATGCATTTGTATAATGATTTACGATATCTTACAAGCACTTACAGTCCACGCAACATATATTCCCTTGCCATTGCAAACATGATTACCACTTGTGTTACATACAAATAAGAAGTGCTTTGTTCTCACTGTCAAGGTGTTTTCCAAGTGTAACTTTTGAGTCAGAGAGTGGCTTTGCAGGAGGTTCTGAGACTAAACAGGGCACAGATCATGCAAATCCTGGGTATCCCTTTGGTAACCTCAAATGGCTCTGTTACTGGCAGGAGCAAGAGAACATCTCCTTCCCAACACCCTCCTCTCAGTTGGCAGAGTTATTCATTCTTTTTTTTTTTTTCCTTTTCTCTTTTTTTTTTTCCTTTTCTTTCATTTCCTTATCATTTCGGATCACTCAAACAGTATCGCATTTTCTTTCGAGGATGTAATGTTACACATTTTTATTATATCTTTTTAATAGTCTTTTTTTCCGCGGCTCACTTCATTCTTGCTGTTTTATATATTGCATACCTCAGAACTTTGTAAAAGTATATAATATTATCCATTTTTGCATTTATTTCTGTTGTTGTAGTAATTTAAATGCCATTTTCGCTATTCAGCAACTACACATACTCGCTTTCATGATACACGGGTAGCAGATTATACTTCAGTAGAATATCAGTGTTGATATCCATTTGCAGATGAAAGAGAGGAGTAAACAAAACGAAAAAAAAATAATGTTATATCTGAAGGAGGGAGATTGTAAAATTGATCATAGTCTTTGTCTTTATTAATTAATATCTTTATGGTACTTGTTTTAAGTAAACGTAGTAGCTATTTCAGAAAACATGTCAATATTTTGAAAACCGAATTTACACAAATTATGGGC